AGAATTCTCTTAAGAGAATTCTCTTAAGAGAATTCTCTCAAGAGAATCTCTCTCGTAAAGGTCGCTTGCAGTGCACCCCCCCCCCCCTCGCTGCATGGGGGCCAGACGAGCCCCGCTGAGGGGCGAAACGCCCCTGGCTGAGGGTGGGGGGGAGGGGGCGGGGCTGAACCGTATCTGACGGGCCCCCTAGGGGGGTTGGGGGGCGCTGTGTTCCTGATTGAGGGGAGCCCCTGAAACAAATTTGACGGGCCCCTTGCGGAGGGGCACCACCGCCCTTTACTGAGGGTGAGCCCCTTTAATGAGGGGGGCAGTGTGAGCAGGGGCAGCAGGGGGGGGGCAGTAGCATTGCATCATGGGTGAGTCGCTCGGGCCCCTGTGCTTGCCTGCCGCGCAAAGCAATCCAGAGAGGGGGGTGCCCCTTTTTGAGGGGGCGCGCACCCCTTACTGAGGGGGAGGCCCTGGCACATCCCCTCCCCCTCCCCGCCTCACCGCTGATGAGGTAGCACCCCTTCTCTTCGAGGGGGGGGAGGCGACCGCGTGGGTTGCGAGCCCCTTCGAGGGGAGAGAAACGAACCCCTGGCTGAGGGGAAGGCTCGACGATACTGAAATGTACCACCACACACGCCACACCCACAGCACCACACCACGCCCACACGCACCACTGAAGTGCGCGGGGAAGGCCCCCGACGATCTACTTGCCATTCGCAGGCGTTTCGGCTGCCGCAGGGCATTTCGATTTTGCTGCTGTATCCCAAATTTCAGGGGTCAGTCCCGCGGCAGCCATGCCCGCCCCAGGAGTAGTCCCTCCTCTGCTCCTGCTGGGCACTCTCCTCACACCGTTGTGCAGCATGGCGCCGAAGAAGAAGATCGAGGGCCAGGGCGCACCAGCGGCGAAGAAGTCGAAGGCGGCCCCGAAGGGGCACGGGCTCGACAAGCAGGAGGCCGACAAGATGAGGGCGTGGCTCAAGTACCAGTCGGAGAAGAAGGACGGCAGCGGGAAACCTACGAGCACAGCAGAATCCGCCAGAGCAGCCCAGGCGCTTTGGAACGGGATGAAGGACCCAGCCGATCGGAAGCGTTTCTTGCAGACCTTCGCGAGTGACAAGGACAAGACACTTGACTGGTTGGCCACCTTCGATGAGAGATGCACGAATGAAGAGGTGCACACGCGCTCTGCCAAGAAAGGGTACCGGAATGTATCGCAGGCACTGGCCCTCAAGAACCTCACCATCAAAGACTTTGCGAACATCCAGGAAGCCACTGCCTTCGTGCAGGAATGGTGGGAGGAGAACAGCGAAGAGCATGGCACCAAAGAAGAATTCCCCATCAAGGAAGATGTCAAGGACAGGCCTCTGTGGAAGGAGTGGTACTTCGTCGAGCGCAACATGGGCGATGACCAGCTGGCGACGAAGGACTCGCGCACCTTCAAGGGGACGTCCAACCTGAAGAACCTGAAGCAACTCGAAGCTGCAGGCATCAGGATGGCCGAGCTCCCGTCGTCCAGCGCTTCGGGGTCGGGTGGGGGCGGCGAGGTGAAGATCGAGAATCCGCACTGGCCAGAGATCGTGAGTAAGAAGGACGAGATCGCGCGCCGTCCTCGGCAGCCGCCCCCTGCCCTTCCATCTCTGGTGCTCTGCCAGACCCCTCCCAGAGGGGGGCCCTCTCCCCCGCCACGCCCCCGCCGCCCCTCCTGGAGGGGATGGCGATAGAAACTGGTTCGTATCCGTTCTGTCGTGCGTTGTTTGCGTTGAAAAGCATGTCGGCGCATTGCTTGTTTATGATCCCTACCAAGGCAAATGCTGGTCAAGTATCAGAAGGAGCTGAAGTTCCTAAAGCACACGAAGAATCAGTTGCTCGCGAAGGCTGGGGATCAGGATCAGAAGGACCGTCAGAGCTTCCAGAACTGGGCCGATGAGTGCAAGAAGTGCGTGGACAATGCGGACCAGCACGAGACGGCGATGGAGGTTCTGATTGCGAAAATTGAGGGCGCTGATTCTGTCGGCAAGGACACGGACATGTACGATAAGCTGAAGAATGAGGTCCAGGCCGCCTACAACACACACGAGCACATGTTCGAGGGCATTCAGCTCTCGGTCAAGCGCTTCAAGAAGTTCCTCAATTGAGCTGCGGCCCTACATCTACATCTACATATCAGTATTTACATGCATATATGCAGTAGGGTTTGAGATGCTCTGCCTCGCCCGACGACACGCATGCAGCGCTGCCTTTCCGACGCCCGTGGGAAAACGAGAACTTGCCGCTTCCTCTGCCAGGGGTGCCCCTTCGTGAGGGGCCGCATGTTTCTGGGTTTGCCAGTAAAGAAGCCCCCCTCATCGCAGGGGCGCGGGGGGAGGGGGGGGCGGGGGGGAGGGGGGCTTGGTATCATCAGGAGGGGGGTAGCAGGAGGGGAGGGGCATGAAAGGGATTGAAGGAGGGCGCGGAGGAGGGGCGCGGGAAAGGGCAAGGGCTCCTTGCCTCAGCCGCGCATGTCCGTAGCCACTGCAGTGGCTCAAGGCCGCCGCGCTCGCGCCTGTCTCCCGCGGGCCCCGCGGGATGCTTTCCAGGCGGCGGTTGCCTTATGACAGGTTGGGCTTGCCGCCGGAGAGGCGGCTGAGAGCGAACGTGCAGGACCTGATAAGCAGCAACGTGGTCAGCGGGCAGCGCGGCGCTCAGCTGATCAATGACTGCGTCTCTGCATCTGCGACAGGTCTCTCCGACCTGCACACTACGGAGTCAACGTCGGGCATGAAAAACGCTGCCAGGAAGTTCAGGCGGGATTTCTTCAGGAAAGGGTGGCCTCCGCTCTATCACTGCCAGGTGAGGGGCTGGGACCCCAAGTCTGAAACAGAACAACTGATGGACTTAGCGATGATGCTTCCTCACGAAATACTTCATCAACTTCATCATTTTGGCGAGCGGAGCGTGCTACTGGAGACGTCGAGTCTCGACGGCGTGTCTCTGCGCCACGTGCAAAGAGCCAGGGCGGAGAGTGGTTGCAACGACCTGGTGGCCCTGGGCGCGTGGCAGGACGGGGTCCCTTGCTTCTGGGACCGATCGATGAGCGCAGAGATCATCAGCCTCATGTTGCCAGGGGCTGCGGGGCGCTGGAAAAACCTGCGGGCCCCAATCACAGCGTTCCTCAAAGAGCACGTGGGCCCCAACACATTTGATGATGTTTTTGCAGTGGTGCAGTGGAGCTTTGTTCACTTGGCTGCGAAGCGCTGGCCGGCGGCACGGCGCGACGGCTCTCCCTTCGGCGCGCAGGACGCATGGAGGAAGCGCCGACAAGTGGCCGATGCAACCCTACCAATTGGCGGAGTGCTTTGCCAGATCAAAGGGGACTGGAAGATGATGAAGGAGGTGCTCAAGCTACCTGGCTGGCAAGATGACGAAGTATGCTTCCTGTGCAACATCAAGAAGGACGAGGCCATGGGAGCGCAACACATCAGGGGAGGATGGAAATCCCCTCTGGGTGGGGGTGCGTCGTCGTCGTTTTCCGGCCCCTTCCAGGGGGGGTGGAGGAGGAGGAGGAGGAGGGGTGGAGGCGGAGGAGGAGGAGGAGGAGGAGTGTTTTTGGCTACTCCCCGCAGGTGAAATCGCAGACTGGGCGAGACGCGCCGTGGAGAACGCACCGACGCACATGGCCAGAAGTCCTTGCGAAGATTATCGTTTCAGGCGAGCAGGTGTGCCCTCTCTTCCAAGTGCCGTATGCGAACGAAAAGTTGCTGAAGCTAGATTGGTTACACGTTGTTGATCTTGGAGTAGCGGCTGACTTCATAGGGGGCTTGCTATGGCATCTTGTAACGCGCAAAAAGGTGGCTGGAACTACCCAGAAAGGCCGCGTCTCCACACTACATGGTCATTTGATGGCGTTCTACGACAGGCAGCCGCCAGGTGAGAAGACCAGCCGCCTATCGAGACTGACGCGGGGCGTTGTGAAAGGAAAAAAAGCAACGACGGCTAAGATGAGGTGCGGCGCGGGGATGCTCAGGCACATGGTTCCATGGGCATTGGAGATGGCGGAGGCTTTCCTTGATAGGAGGAATGGCGTCGACGAGCGGGCAGCTGTAGAATCGTCCATTCACGCAGGGATGAAAAGCTTATCTCGGTGTTACGAGGCACTCTCTGACAATCACCCATTTGCTGTGGACATTCTTAGAGAGCATTCAAGTAAGTTTGCCACGCAGACGGCCGCTTTGCAAGACGCGCTTCCTGCCCATTTTAAAGTGAAGCCTAAAATGCACATGTTTCTGGAGCTGTGCATGGGCGGCGGTGAACCAGCGAAGCACTGGAACTATAGGGATGAGGATTTCGGTGGATCTGTAGCTGCATTTGGCCGAAGGAGGGGCCAAAGGAGGTCCATGAGAGCGTTTTCGGTGGCATGCATCTCTAAGTTCTGCGGCCAGCCGATTGTGCGCATGCTTTGAAAAGAACGCTTCTGTGTGTATCGTTGTCATTCATTGCTGTCGGCTCAAATATATGTTGGACCCCTCCCAGTGGGGTGAGCGCGAGCATGGGCGCCGAAGCCCCGTTTGCCCCAAAACGGCGGGTCGAACTATTTTCGGCGCGCCCGAACTATAGATCGACCCGCAGAAAAGTATAACCCCCGCATTATAGTTCGACCCCGCACTATAGATCGACCTTGGAGTCTCAAGGCCTATACCCCCCGGCGGGGGAGGGATCAGGCTTCCCTTCGACTCAATTGCAACGTTGCTCACTTTCGCTTTGGCTTGCGCGCTTCGGGGGGAAGGCTGTCAGGAAGAGGGGGAACGGCGACGGGCCCAGGGAAAGGGGGAGGCAGGGCAAGGGGGCGACAGAGACAGCGACGAACGACTGACGGAGAGGGGGGGTCCAACGGACAAGCCCCTCACACACGCCGACAGGGTCGGCGGATTTCGATCCGGCCCACCGGCTCGATGCTGACGGATCCCCTCCTGCTCCGGCCCCCCGCGGCCTGTCCTGCTCCGGCCCCGCCCCGGCCGGGGGGGGGCCTCCCGCAGGACCAGCGGGCTCCTCCTCTCGCTCCGCGGTGCCGTTGCGCCGCCGGCGCCGCGGCCCAACTGGCAGACGCGCCTGACGGCGGCGCGCCTGCGCGGGGCGCCGGGCGACGCCACCGCCGGGGGGCCTGCCGCGGCCAGCGGCGCCTCGCGGAGGGGCGGCCCGGGGCCCGCGGCGGCAGCTGCGGCCAGCGGAGGCGTCGGCTGCACGCGGCGGGCTCCGGGAAGGGCCTGCGGCTCCGAGGGTCGAAGGGGTGGGCAGGCGGCGGCAGGCCGCAGGAAGCCGGCAGCAGGAGGTCGGGCATGCCCCTCTGCAGGAGGAATACTCGAAGCACGCAGACATGGTCGGGGGACGACTGTTCCAGTATTTTGCGATGTTTGGTCGTGCATGTTGTTGGCTATTTTCTAAATGTTCGTCCCAACTCCGCTTACAGGAGGAGTACTCTAAGCACGCAGAAATGGTCTGGGGACGATTGTTCCAGTATTTTGTGATGTTTGGTTGTGCATTTGTTGACTATTTCTAAATATTCGTCCCAACGCCGCTTGCAGGAGGACGAGCCCGACCTAACGGCAGGAGTGAAGAACGGCGGCGGGTCCGCCAGCGGAGGCGGGGCGGGAGGGAGAGGGCACCTCCCCACAGAGACGGCAAGGCCTATTGCTGCAGGGCTTCCGGAGCCCGCCACGCGAGAGCGGCCCTTCGCAGCGGTGACCTTTGATGCGGGCTTGCCTCCTCCTCCTACCTCCTTCTCCTCCTCCTCCTCCTCCTCCTCCTCCTCCTCCTCCTCCTCCTCCTTGCTCTGATGCGGCCCCCGATCGCCAAATACGGTGGGATGGCAGCGGCCTGCGCGCCCGGGCTTGCCCCCGCGCGAGGGGAAGAGGGTGCCACTGGCGCGCCGCCGTGCGGGGGGCCCGTGAGCGCGTTCCGCCTGCGCTGTTGTCCGCAGGCACGGTGCTTCTTCCTCAGTCAGGGTGTGATGGGCTCCCCACGGCGGCGTCTCGTTGACATCAGGCAGTTCGAGAGAAAAAAGGCTGCGTAAACAGAAGCTGCCAGCGCTCCGCGCGGATTTCTCGGATCTGCGCTAGGCCCCCTGGCGGCGCCTCCGGCGCCGCCCCTGGCGCGCTCCGTGCGCCAGGAGGGGGGTCCAGCGCCGTTCCGAAAAATCCGTGCGGACCTGCGAAAATTGAAGTTTGTGCAGTTGTCTGTTCCTCCAGCAGTGGCGACGCAGCCTGACTTGCCCCGCTGGCCCACCAAGGGATGTCCTAAGAGCCTTTTGTGGTGTGAACGAAATGGCCTTCGAACATTTTCGGCTGAGACCGCCGTGTTTGAGTTCATCGGCCACATGCTCTAAGAACAGTCTTTCAGAGCCCCGAATCATCAGGGGTAACTCGGGTCAGGGATAACTCGGGTTCCTTTTTCTGGAACCCAAACCCGAGTTACCCCGGACCCGAGTTACCCCGGATAACTCGGGCTCCCAAGTCTTCAGTTCTAAGAAAATTTCGTGGTAGGCCTCTTCATCCGCCATGCTGGAAGCGGGTCCTCAAGTTTTCCACCGCTGCCGGGCTCTCGGGGCCCTCCACGGGCCCCGGGGCCGTCAGAAAGCGACTCGGGATGAGGATTCTGTCCTGGGGGAAGGCACCAGGATCCAGGACCCCTTTCCCTCGGGACCCGTTTCCCCCCATGCTTCTCTATGAGTGCCGGGATCAGTCGGTCTTTGCTCTCGCAGGCCTAGAGGTTGACACCAACACCAACGTCGGCGGCGTGCCTCCACCGAGGGAAGGAGATCCCGACCTCGGTGATGGTGGTAATGTTCTGGATTCCAGGGTGGCCGAAATATCACCACCAACACCGAAATCTGGGATCGCCTTCCCCGTGTGGAGGCAAACCCTCTCGTGTCGGTGGTGGTGGTGGTGCCCATGTCGAGGAGGACGAGAAGGAGGAAAAGGAGAAAGAGGAGGAGGAGGAGGGGGAGGGGGAGGAGGGAGGAGGAAGAAAAAGAGGAGGAGGAGGAGGAGGAGGAGGAGGAAAATGGCGAGCTTGGGGAAGGCCTCCACTGCTCGGTGATCCAGTGGTCCTGCTTCTGCTGCCCTCCCCCCCCCCCCCGAGCCGCACACCGCGGGGCCCCGCCTGCCCTGTGGGTGTCCCCCCTGCTGGGCGGGGGGGGGGAGGAGGAGGAGGAGGAGGAGGAGGAGGAGGAGGAGGAGGAGGAGGAGGAGGAGGAGGAGGAGGAGGAGGAGGAGGAGGAGGAGGAGGAGGAGGAGGAGGAGGAGGAGGAGGGAGGAGGAGGAGGAGGAGGGAGGAGGGAGGAGGGAGGAGGGAGGAGGGAGGAGGAGGAGGAGGAGGGAGGAGGAGGAGGAGGAGGAGGAGGAGGAGGAGGAGGAGGGAGGAGGAGGAGGAGGAGGAGGAGGAGGGGAGGAGGAGGAGGAGGAGGAGGAGGAGGAGGAGGAGGAGGAGGAGGAGGAGGAGGAGGAGGAGGAGGAGGAGGAGGAGGAGGAGGAGGAGGAGGAGGAGGAGGAGGAGGAGGAGGAGGAGGAGGAGGAGGAGGAGGAGGAGGAGGAGGAGGAGGAGGAGGAGGAGGAGGAGGAGGAGGAGGAGGAGGAGGAGGAGGAGGAGGAGGAGGAGGAGGAGGAGGAGGAGGAGGAGGAGGAGGAGGAGGAGGAGGAGGGGCGCGCGGGTCGGGCGCGCGGCTGCCCAGCCTGAGGAGCAGGGGCAGCGCTCGGCTCGCGAGGGGAAGGCGGCCACAGCCACGGGCGAGCGCTGCTCTTCCTTCCAGAGGGAAAGAAACACACAGACACAATGAATCGGCGATTCCCCCGAAAATATGGGAAAATATGGGAAGTGGGGGGGAAGACAAACACCCAGAAAATGTGGGAAAATATAGGGAATAGTTTTATTAGTGTGTATTTATTTGCGTGTCCCAGGGCCCCTTCATTCATGAAGACAGCCCGCGGGGTTCAGCGAGATGCTCTTGTTCAGCGAGTTCGGGCCCCTCCGGGACTGCTGGGGAGCAGCAGTCAAATCGCTGTGCCAAGCTGCTGGGCTTTTGGGGCGCGGCGAGCGCAACCCTGATCCAACATAGCCACAACCACAAACGAACGCTGCTTTTAGGGAAAATGCTAAACATGGGAGGAGGAGGAGGAGGAGGAGGAGGAGGAGGAGGAGGAGGAGGGGCAGCAGGGAACAACAGGAACAGTGTTCAAATGTGATGGAAATTCTGGTACTTGCGTCAATTTGTTCGTGCCTCCCTGGGCCTCTTTCTCGGCGGGAGCTGGGGCGGGGATGGCTGGCGGTGCGCAGGAAGGGGGACGAGGGCGGGGGTGGCAAGTCCAGTGGGGGGGGCGCAAGCATAGATTGAAGGAGGTGGATCATCCAGGCCTCCCAGATGGGGTCGGAGTAAACGGGATCGCAGAACCGCACCGCATCGCCGATGCATCGGCGATGCGGCTAGATTCTCTGACCCCATCTACTCCGACCCCATTTTGGAGGCCTCTGTTCTCCAGAGGAGGGCGCGAGCATGAACTGAGGCGCGTGGATTGGCGACGGGCCCCGCTTCTATACACAACATCGATTGCTCCACCGTCAAATCAGACGGGCCTGGCCTCACGTTCCCAGGGGGGTACCTCCCCCGATCCGTCGATCCGGTGCCCACGCGCCAGATCCACGGATCCGCAATCCATCTTCGCGTGTGCTCGGTTTCCGCGCGCCATCAGAAAGTTTTCTTCGGGAGCGCGTTTGCCTTCTCAGAGGGCTGCCACCCCCTCGCCCAACCCCTTTTCTGCGCGCCGCCTCCTTGGTGGCTCTCTAGAGAAGGCTGCGCCAGAGGCTTTTCGACGTCTCGTTTCGGCCTCCGCAGGCTGCTTCAGGACCCCGGTACCGTGACATGGTCTCTCGCGCTATCTTGCTGTGCTGTCTGGACCCCAGTGCCGTGACAGGGTCTCTCGTGGCATCTTGCTGTGCTATCTCATCGCGCTCCCCACTGCACTACGAAGAGCCAGACAAGGAGGAGCACAGCGTCGACCACGAGCGGCGAACATATCCGTACCCGCGCCCTCGCGCTCTGGATCCCAGGGCGCGGTCCCGCGGAGACGCGGTCGCACGCGTACGTCCCGCGCGGGGCACCCGCGAACATGCCTTCCGTGTCCGCGGGTCCGCGGACCAGGGGCCCAGCCCACGAGGCCGGGGACACGGCCCACGCTTGGCATCGCTCGGACGTGTGCATTTTTCTCTCGGCGAGGACCATCGAGCCATCGAGGAGCATCCTTGATCATTCGGCGAAGAAAACACGCACGAAACCGAAAAAAAACACAGGGAATGGACGTCCGAGCGATGGCAGGCACGAGTCGGTGGCACGGTCGCGCGTTTGACTGCTCGCATCTCTCTGCTCCTTCACGCCAAGTGCCGGAGCTATGTTCCATGCGATGGGCAGCGTATTTTCTGCCCCTGCTCACGCCCCGGCCCCACGAGGAGCCAGAGCGGCGGCGGGGACAGGATTCTGGCTTCCGCGGTCACGCCTGGCATCTTGGCATCGCCCGGACGTGTGCATGTTGTTCTGCGAGAGCCATCGAGGACCATCCTGGACCATCGAGCAAAGAAAACACGCACGAAACCGAAGAATGCACGGGAAATGGACGTGCGAGCGACGGCAAGTCATCCGTGCCTTGCTTCCCCTGGCGTCCAGGGTGCGGGCCAGCAGCACGGGTATGGATCGAGCGCCGATCGTCGACCATTGCATGCAGGCTTGCTGTCATGCAGGTCAGAGCCCAGCTGCCGCTCTCTGCTCGGACTGGCATGGATCGTGCAAGCCTGTGCGAGGGGGGGGGGGGGCGCACTCAGAGGGTGATCAGCTGGCGCTGTGAGGCTCTGGCCCTCGGGCCGACTGCTTCGTGCCGCGGGCAAACTCCAGCATCGCCGCCTCTTACCCAGGCATACGCAGGGTACTCCAGATTTCGTAATAAAGGGAGGGGGGTCTCATTTCGAGGGGGGTCTCTTCCAGGCTATCTTGGAGGGCCTGAGGGGGTCTGGGGGCGATGTTTGGGAGGGTTCTCCCACAGGGGGGGTCTGAAATGGCTCGTCTTGGAGGGTCCAGACCCCCTCCCTTTTATTACGAAATCTGGAGTACCCCGAGTTTCTTAATGAGCGTCGGGAGGGCGTCACCTCCGCCGACAGCCCCACATCGACCCCCGTCGCGGGCAGCTACCGCGCGCCGAAGGCGCTCCGACCCCCGTCGCGGCGCGACGACGAGGCGAGGTTGACCCCCGTCAGGGGGGTACCCCCCCACGTTTCTCAAGAAGCCCAGGGCAGTTTGAGCAACGATCGCCTCTTCGCACGCAGGGCTCCCACGAGGGCAGTGTGCCACAGCTCCGAGTGCTATACAGTGGAGGCCCATGCCAAGAAACACCCTGCTTGCCTCCAGGGTGCCCTGGGTTTCTAGGGTTTCGACGGTTTTGCAGTGGAAGGCGCGACGTTCCCGCACCAAAAATTGATGGACGTCCTGGGGTCTCAGGGTCGGGTTTCTTGTGAAAGGCTTCTTGTGGACTGGCCTCCACTGCACGGTAGGTTCGTGCCGTGTCCACCTGCGGCGACCCCGCCAGCGGCGTTCCAAGGTTGACCGCCGCGGGCGACCCAGCATCGTTCGATGTGGACCGGTTTGGACGTTTCGGAAACGGCCGATCACTCAGGGTTGAAACGATCCCCGCGGTGTCGGAGAAACCAGCGCGGCAGGCGGCACGACTCAGGAGGGGAAAAAACACACAGACACAATTAATCGTCCACTCCCAGGAAAATGTGGGAAAATATGGGAAGTGGGGGGGAAGACAAAAACCCCGAAAATATGAGAACAGATGGGGCATCCTTTGACTTGTGTGTATTTATATTTGTGTGCCCCGGGGCCCCTTCAACGACGCGAGCCTGCCGCAAACCGCTCGCCATCGAGCCCCGCCTCGCGCTCGCCGCCCCCGCCGCGCGAGTGCCGCGGCCCACGCCCCGCGCGACCCGCCGAGCGATGCCGCCGGAGCGGGCTGCCGCC